GAGGAAAGCGAGACCCCTGGGGGGTCACAAACTCCGGCCCCTGGGCGGAGAGACGCAGACCCCGGGGCCGCTCTCGCCGCTCCGTACAACTCGCGGTCCCCGATCTCGGGGTCGCCAGTAGTGGCAGGAAGCGTTGCTGGGCGCCGACAGCGGGGAATGAGAGCTTCGAGTGCCTCTCTACTTCGTGTACCGAACTGGCTTCCAGTTAAGATCTTCCTTAACTGGAGTAACTCCGAGTTTCCCAGCTTGGCAGCTGGATTCTTTTTTATGACAGTAAACGAGTTGCAGAAACAGTAAATATTTTTTGAAATCTGATTTTCTTGCAGTTGTTAACGACGGAATTGCCCCGCCACGTAAAATTCTTTTTCCACCTGAGAAAACCTGCATGCATTGCCAACAGCCACTGAACGTTGGAGCTGGACTGCAGAACCTGGGCAATACGTGTTACCTTAATGCTACTCTGCAGTGTGTAACTTCCGCGCCTCCTCTGGCCAATTACGTGCTTTCACTGGAACACAAGAAGTCACTGACACAGACCCCGACCCCGGGGCGGACAGAGCAGCAGACCCCGCAGCTGACAAACTCGGACCCCAGTTCGGAGGGACACAGACCCCGGCGCCGCTGTCGCTGCTCCGTGCTACTCGCGGAATCAGTCTGCTTTTCCTTGTCAAAAGAACCAGGTGTCTGCTTTTCCTTATCAATGGTTAGTGCCTTTGTTCTGCTTAGTAGGCATGATAGCTGCAGACAATACTTTTGTTTAAGCAAGCAAATTTCTCTAACCCCCCTCTACACCCCCCCTGTACACCCCCCCTGTACATTGGTTACCCCTGTATCAATCCCCCCTTTTTCTATAAAATGAGTAAATTCTTTTACTATATTATTTATAACAGAGCTATCCATGTTTCTTCTATCGATTTATAAAATGATTTTGATATACTTTGTATTATGCAAGGTTCAGTCATTAAAATGAGTAGTCCTATAGTTAAGATTAGAAGGCCTTGTTTAAGTATTTCCCTGAACCATCCAGTAACTCCTAGGTTATTTAGCCATTCATCCATTCTACCTCCAACAATTCTAAGCTCTTGCACATTTTCCTGCAATTTTCGCAGCTTAGCATGAATTGATTCAGAATGGTTAGATAAGTTCATGCAGCACATACTTTCGAAATCCCCACAACCATCCTGTAACAACATCTTTGTTACCTCCCAGGCTTGTACGTTTCTAGTTGGAAAGGTTTCCGGCCAACCTGAAAAGGTGTCTGATAGCACCAACAGATGTCTATACCCCCTTTTTCTGTCCTTTTGCAAATTCTCTTGCAACATTTTATGTAGTGCCATTACCATCCATAGTGTTTTTGAAATAGTTTCCCGTTTCTACTTGATACTTAAATTTCATTTCTTTTTTCAATCTTCATCATTTATCATAGATCGTTTACAATTTCAGGAAGAACATTTTGTTATACCACAAGTAATCAATATTAAAACAATTAATAGTAATATTCCTGCAACCAGTTGCCTTAACCAGAAGAGATCAGGTAACCATGAAGTTAACTTTTTCCATATTTCCTCTACGGTTGCTGAGATATTTATGATTGCCTCACAAAACATCTCACAAAATGCAGTATTCTGTTCAGCAATAGGGTTAAACCCTCTCTTAACCAATACCATCCTTTCCCTTCAGGAACCAAGCTACCACTGAACCACGATACCATCTATACAATTTGAAGAGTGACCTACACCTGTGGCATTTAAACAAACATAGTCTCCTATTCTGGTTAACTATTCCAAATCTTAAAATTGCAGTGTTGGAAATTGGAATGCCAATTAATGGAAGGCCCTGGTCTTCTCCCGATTCAGGCAACTGTGCACACACCAAACAGTCACTACAATTAACAACTTTAGTAGCATTCTGCATTAATTTCAGGTATAAGTATTAGTCCCAAGCTGGTATGTCAGTTATCACATAAATCCAAATCACGACTGATATAATTTCATATGCGAGGGTCCTGAAGGTTTGATCCGCCACGTCTTCTATGGTTCTATATTCTTGCAAGCAGGTTGTTTCTTTATCTTCCCTGCTGTAAAGGTGGTCAATATTATCTGGTACGGTCCGCTCCACTTCTCCTGTAGAGGATCTCCTGAAAAATTCTTAACATAAACCCAGTCTCTGGATCTAAAAGGGTGAGTCGAATAATCCATGCCTCTCACTCTTGTCCTCAGTATTCTCTTACTTCTTCTAATTGCTTTCCCAGATTGACCAGAAATTTTAGGAGAAAGTCTTCTGGAAGTCGGAGAAGGTTTTCTCCTTTAAACTGGGACTGATACGGTCTTCCATATAAAATTTTACATGGGATAGCCTCTTCTTTCGACCGAGGTTTAGTTCAAATTCTTAATAGAGCCAGTGGTAAGGCTTGGTATTAATATTTTACTAATCTGTTGTTTGATCATCTTTTCTACTTGCCCACTGGCCTGAGGCCTGTAAGGAACATGTAGTTGCCTGATTTTTGCTAATTTCTTGTAACTCTTTTGCACTAAAGGGTGAGCCTCGGTCGGAAGAAATTGCCTCTGGTACTCCGAAACAAGGTATTATAGTGTTTAACAATGTTCCAATTACTTGTCTTGCATTATTTATTCTACAAGGGAATGCTTCTGGCCACCCTGAAAAAGTATTCATTAACACCAACAAATATTGGTCTCGGTAATTCAGAAAAATTTATTTGCCAGTGTTGTCCCAGATAAATTCCTCCCGAGTTGTACCAATTTGATTTCTATTTTCAATTTTAGGATTATTCTTGAGACAGAGCTGACATTGTCACTAATTGAACTGTGTTATATAGATTCCTTCCTGCAATTTGGTCATCTAAGTATTTATACAAAGAGTTGCTACCCCAATGAATTGTTATCTTTCTCCTGAACTAGCTTCCAGAGTTGCTTATAGGGGATTACAGTTCACCCATCAGGTATCTGAACCCAATCTTCTTTGTTTTCCTCTCCTTTAGGATCTCCGATTTTCTGTCCTCCTTTGAATATCTAGGTTTAGATTTCTCAATTGTTAGTTTGCCGTCAGGGATTAAGGGAATGAGTTTAGATTGTTCAATTTCTCATTTGGCTTCAGAATCGGACAAACTTCACCTTGTTGATGCCCTCGACAATACATAATAGCTACCTCCTCAGGTAGCTGAACAGTCCCTCTCTACTTCATGTACCGAACTGGATTCCAGTTAAGAATTTCCTTAACTGGAATAACTCCGAGTTTACCTACTTGCCTGGTATTTTCACAAGCCACTTTGTTTTACTGGCCTTGTGGACAGTGGAAAGTTTGGGCCAGTTTCACTCCCTCTTATTCCTCTTACAAAGCACATTCGGAATGAAATATCATCGCACACAAGAACATTATTCTGTTAGCTTTGGTAAATTAAAAGAGATTGACTGAGCACCACAAATAGCTGATTAAGATGTCGCATTTTTTTAATGCTGAGAAATACTATATTTCCTGCTACAATAGCCTTAGTTATACGTTACTCTCAATAGTTATTCCTGCCGGATAGAAGAACTTCATCTAAATACAGCAAATTAACTCCCAAGGCATTTCCTTCATGCTTCTGGGCAGGCATCCTCACCCGGTTAAATAAACAGATTTTCAGAAGGGAAGAACTGATACAAAAGTGCTTCATGGCTTATGAATGCTTTTGTAACCTCACATTTCTCCAGAAATACTTTATTGGCTGCTTTTCACACCCTTGCACTTCTTGGTACCACTGATTCTGGCTTATTTGCATTACAGCTCTACTTGTACAGAGCTCAAACTGATGTACGCATTGCTCAAATACAAAACCTGAAGTTGCGGAACAGAAGACTCGAAACAGGTGAAGTGAGCAGCTCTGAGATCACGCTGCTTTGCAAACGCAGGACATACGACTCCAAATCATTTCTAGAAAGAGTTTAAATGTGTTCCATTAAGCAAAGGTATCTCCACGCCGACACTTGTTCAAGGATTGTACCTCCGCTGGTTGAGTTTCACTCCCTTGAAAGTACTTGTATCTGAACAGGCATCCAAGCAGACCACAATTCCACACGCTCTGGGGAAAATCTGAGGTGTAGAAACGTTTACTTTGTTCTTTTCCTCTCAGCCTTTATGGCAAACATGCAATAAAGCAGAACGCTGGCAGGATGACACCCCATGCAAAACAGGGCACATCAGCAAGACTGGACCAACCAACCAGCCTCGCCTTGACAGTCAAAAGGGGATTTCAAACACATCGCCTTGGTAAGTCTGTGGCTTTGCCAGGACGGCACGTTTCCCTGTGCTGTATGCCGAGCTGCTCTGCAACTCCACCAAGCAAAATTGCTTTGATAAAGCAGTGGGTCCCCAAAGCGGTCACTGGCACAGCAGGCACGGCTCAGGTTCAACAAGTCTGTGAAAAACTGCCTGCTACCGGAAGCAGTCCAAAAAAGCCACCCTGTGCGTCCAGCATGGAACTAGGGGCTTTCCCTTAAGAACAGCACGTGCACTGGGAGTAGAAAAGCATCGCGGTAAAACCCCAGCTCCCGCGGCACGAGCGGCGTTGTTCCTTGCTTGGCGAGGAGGCGGCGGCTCCTCGCGGGGCCTGCGGCCTCCCGCGGGGAATCGAACGCTTGGATTCTCGCCGTCCTCACGTCCCGTCCGTTAGTTGCCATGAGCACAGAGTCGCCCCAGGCCGCCCGCTGCTGCGCTCCTGCTTCCGGACGGTCCTGGAGCTGCGAGCCCGGAAAGCGACACCTGGGGAGGGGTTGAGGGCACCGAGGCGGGGCGGGGCGGCGCTGAGGCTGTCCCCGCACAGTGGTTGCCGCGGGTGGGAAGTGCCGAGCGGGGCTGGGTCGTAGCGTGAGGTGGAGCGGGTAGGGCGAGGCGAGGTGAGGTGAAGCGAGGGATCCCTCGGAGCCGCGCTCTGCCCTCGCCTTCCGCGTCAGGGTCTCTTTGGTTTGGCTGTGTTTGGGCTCTTGCCGCTCCCAAGCGCGGACATGCTGCGTGCCGCGCCGGTCCGTGAGAGCAGCGGTGCCAAACTGCTCTTAGGAACCAAAACCTGTCGGAAAGGCAGAGCGGGGGGTGAGCGGGTAGGTGCTTCAGGCTTAGCGCTGGTGACGGAAGGCCGGACAGTTCCATCTGGAACTGCTACTATGACGTTAACCGGCTTCGAGAGCTTCTCTTGCGACCCGGGAGAAGCAGACCCTCAGACCCCGGTGAAACACTGGGCAGCCGCGCCTTGGGAGAGCAGAGAAGCCCCTGGGCGGACGGAGACCACGGTCCCGGGACGGACACAGACCCCGACGCCGTCCCCGACCCCGGAGCTGACAAACTCGGACCCCTTTGCTTCCAGGTAAGGTTAAAGTGATAATTAACTGCGGGTTTCCTGGGTTGGCAGCTGGATTATTTTTGATGAAAGTAAACAAGCGTGGCGTGTGTGTATGGGTTTGTGTGTGTGTGTTTGTGTGTGTGTTCGGGTTGTTCCTTATTTCGAATTTGTGTGTGTGTATACGTTTGGGTTTTGGTTTTGTGTTTTTTTTTGGGGGGGGGGGTGGTTTTGCTTTTTTGTTGTTGGTTTAGTTTGGGTATCTTTTTCTTACGGTAGTGTTGCATTGTGGAAGTGTCGTTTGCAATTTAGAGACATAGAAGTGCTTTCATGTCTTCATGTCTACTACAGTAGTAGTAGTTTTGTATTGCTCCTTATTTCTACGTAGGTGTTTTTGTGTATGTTATTGTTTTACAGTCACCGCTGCCAATGTTTGTTTTGTCATGAGACAAATGTGTAATCGCACTTAACCGCAGTTTTGTGAGTGGGGTTTTTAGTTTGGTTGTTGTCGTTTGTTTTTGTTTTTTTCATATTTCTTACCAGCTATTTAGTTCTTCAAGTTATCTCTTTGATACTGAGTGACAGAATTTCCTTCTGGAATGCTTCTTGATAGTCTTAAGTCAACCAGAACTTTTACCTCTGTTACAGATACGAACAATGACTTTAAAGAGAATATCTTCAATATTTAAAAACCTGTCACAACCTGAGGAAGATGCAGAGAAAGTACCGACAGGTTCTGTGTATTCTAGAGCCTCTGAAAAACCTAAGCCTTTTGGCCAGGAAGAGCAAAGTTAGTGTGTCTTCTGTCCTTCCCCTCCTTTCTTCAGAACAAAATACCCAAAAGTTAGAAAACACAGTTCTCATTTGTTGCACTGATACAAGATGATGACTAAAGCCTTCAGCACTAGGCTGCAATTTTGTGAGTCCCCTAAGGCAACTGAAGGGACTGGTATTGGAAGACCTGTAGTTTTATCTTTAAAAACCTACTTGCAACAATGGGTTTGAGGAGGTTTTTATAATACACAGACTTAGCCAGGTCTTCTGTGCTGTGCAGAGAAAAGTACATTTTACCTTTGTGTTTATGGCTTCCATTATTCACAAGCCTTTGAATGCTAACCCTGCTCAGGAAGAGGTCTGGTATCCGTAGGGTTACCTGCTCCGCTGGTTACTCCCTTACTTTTCCATCCTAGTTCTTACAATCTGTTCATCATGTTGTTTTGCGTTGTGGAGCAGACCTGGTTCTTCTGGGTCCTCCTGCAGAATGCTCCCTTTTAAACATGCTTTTTCAAAGAGAAACATTAAATATTTTTTGAAATCTGATTTTCTTGCAGTCGTTAATGATGGAATTGCCCCACCACGTAAAATTCTTTTTCCACCTGAGAAAATCTGCATGGATTGGCAACAGCCACTGAACGTTGGAGTTGGACTGTGGAATCTGGGCAATACGTGTTACCTTAATGCTACTTTACAGTGTTTGACGTACACACCTCCTCTGGCCAATTACATGCTGTCTCTTGAACACAGCAAGTCATGTGAGTACTTTCTAACATGATTATAAATACGTTGGGCGGCTGCAAAGGTGAAAGAACAAGAGTGATTCTGTGGAGAAAATGCGTGGCTTTCCCGTTTTACCTGTCGAAGCTGGCTTTGAATGCCATCTTCGTGGTCTTTTTCAACATAAATGATTCTGTGATTCCGTGCTTATTTAACAGGAAGCTCGGAATGGCATATAAAGTGCATTTGTTCATTTAATGCCCAATGGCAAAGTTGCAAATAAAGAGCATTTCTTGCTTTGTGTGAATAGCGAAGTACGTTGTAAAGGAAGGCATTTGATGAACATTTGGCATTTGTGTTTCCTGCTGGTAGAAAGGTGGTAAAATGTAGGATGTTGGCATCGTAGCGTCTTCGTCTCTGCAGCCTAGATAGCGTCATGTGCTAGTACTGCAATAAATGACATGTTCACTATTGACCCATTAAAAAAGCCCACACCCTAGAAAGCACTACGAGCTAATTTCTGCTGACCTGAAATGGAAATTTGTGTGGGGCAGTATTAAAATTTAGACTGGTTTTATTCTAGTTAAAAGTTTGTATTTTTTTAAGCCTTTGAATTTGTGTTCTTCACATTTCCATTCTATGCTTGAACTGATTTGGCATAGGAGCCTCTTTTCATATCCTTCTAGGTCTATTTTGACAAAGGTACATGCATGCTTTTTGGTTTGGCATCTTAGTGTTTATTCCTAGAAATTTAACTGTGTTTTTTTTTGACATAGATAAAAATGCTTCCAGTTAAGAACCCTGTTGCAAAAAGGAGGGCAGAAATACTTACACATACCTTCCTTTAACCTTTCCTTTCTCCCAGAGGATTCTTAGCTCTGTGTCATGTAGCTCACCTAACAGCAATATGCTGAAATTCGCACGCATTCTCTCTTAGCGCTGTGTCATCAATATCAGTAGTGTTTTTCGTGGCTATTGTTTTTTGGTTTTGTTCTTTTTTTGGTAGCAATGCTTATTTGACTAGACTGTGTTGCTTCTTTCACTCTTCAGGTCACGAAAAAGGCTTCTGTATGATGTGTACATTGGAAGCTCACATTAACCAGGCCCTGTGTTTCTCTAATAGTGCTATCAAACCTATATCTGTTATCAATGGCCTTAAAAGTAAGTCATTTCAGATGGTTTTCTTTTGATATATTGGGTAACTTCAAAGCACTCTCTGATGCATAGAAATGATTTTGATACTTTTAGAAACGTGAGTTTTCTTTCATTTTCTAGGAGATAAATATAACCACCTTCTTATTTATTAGGTATAGGAGAACATTTCTGTTACGGCAGTCAAGAGGATGCACATGAATTCTTGTCCTTCACTGTTGATGCTTTGCAGAAAGCTTGCTTGAATGGAGGCACCACGTACGCATAAACGAATTATTTAACCCTTAGATGTTCTCTAGCCCCTTTTACTCCTTTCTTTACTATACTACATTAAAATGACTGTCCTTGGTAAAAACTGTTTGAAGAGTTAACTCTGAGCCTCGTATCATCTGAGGCCTGATTTATCATTTCTTTCCAGATGGGACACATCTTCTCAAGCCACTACACTTATTTATCAAATATTTGGAGGATACCTAAGATCCCGAGGTACTTGTTACAATTCTTCCTGTCCTTTGAACTGGTGTGTGTCTGTTTGTCTGTAGTAAAGGACTTTGTGCTTTGACTAAAGTAAAATGTATGAAGACTCTAAATTTGTCCAGTCAGTGTTAAGCATTTGTATTCTGATTCCAGTAAAATGCTTGAACTGCAAAGCCGTTTCGGACAGGCACGAGCCATTCCTCAGTATTACTTTGGATATAGAGGTAAGGTGTTTTGTGAATACGGCTCGAGCTGCATAAGGACCTGTAGAGATTTCCAGATAAAGGCATTTTACTTAAAAATATACACTGCTAAAAGGAAAGAGCTTGGTGTTGGGTGGGAGTGGATTGGGCTTTGGTCTTGTGTGGAATGCATCTAGATGCTCTCCATGTTTGCAGTGGGTTTAACCTGTAAAAACAGTAATTACATCTACACAAACACCTATACCCTCACACTTCTCTGTTATTCTGCTTCAGCATCTATATCGTTAGGCTGATGGGTTTGCTTGTTCTCATTATTGATGCCGTAGCATAGTACAGATGGTGTCTGTGGCACTGCAAACTTTATCTTTTTATTTCGAAGTAGCATCATTTCCACAGGAGGTAAATGCTCAGCGTACTCTGAGGTTTCTGCCTCCTTCACAGTGGTTGCCGGTTGACAGTAGGTCACTTGAGGATGAACTAGCAAGGTTCTCTCGTAGTTATACCAGGAAGTGTTTGAAATTTTGCATTTCCAGTGACCTAGTGCTCTACCTTCTTATTCATCCAGACCGTTACGTCTCTCACCGCGGCTCTGAAACAATTTGTGACACCTGAACAATTGGACGGAGTAAACAGCTATAAGTGTAGCAAGTAAGATTCCTACTAATTCCATCTGAGTCCAAGAGAAGGCGTTTAATGTGTCACATGAATATTTGGAAATAGAAGAATTGTGGCCATTAGCTCATATTAGACTTTTATTCCTACTGCTGCCTGCGCTGGGGTTTATTAGCCTTCGTCAGTGTGAGGTTGCACACAGAAGTATTCGTCTGGCCAGAAGTTAAAGGGGATGTCTGCTAAGTAGTGGTGAGCTGAAGCACAGAGCTAAGGACAACGATTTGGGGTGGGAGGCAACATCAGCTGGCTGAAGGTCCTAGTGTTCCGTGTGAAAGGATAATGTTCTAAGTCCTTTGTTTTGTAGAGCTGTCCGCTTACATGCTGTTACCTTCTGTCTATTAACAAACGTGAAGTGCAGCATATGGGTTCATAAGCCTGTGCGAGAGATGAAAACTTGTTTGAGTTTTGGGAGGGGGAAGAATTTGCTGTTAAACATTTGTCTGTGCTTGTTTTTAAGGTGCGAAAACATGGTTCCTGCCTCCAAGAGGTGCACGATACATCGCTCCTCCAAAGTTCTCATCGTATCGCTGAAAAGATTTGCAGATTTTACTGGTGGCAAGATCAACAAGGTATATTTGCAGCTGTAAAGCAGCTTTATCTTCTCGGAATGGGAGATTTCCCCAAGAAAATATCATTTTAAACGGGGGAAGTTTAGATTGGATATAAGGAAGAAATTCTTTACTGTTAGGCTGGTGAGGCATTGGAATGGGTTGCGCAGGGAAGCTGTGAATGCTCCATCCCTGACGGTGTTCAAGGTCAGGTTGGGCAGAGCCTTGGGTGGCATGGTTTAGTGGGAGGTGTCTCTGCCCACGGCAGGGGGGTTGGAACTAGATGATCTTAAGGTCCCTTCCAACCCTAACTATTCTATGATTCTACGGTTTAAAAGCTGTTAATGTTTGCAGGCTGTAAGTGTAATAACAATAGTCCAAGAAAAGTCAATCTAACAACTATGGCTTACGGTAACCATAAGAGTAGTTCTCTGCAGCTTCAATTACGAAATATTGTTTCTGAGAATAGGTATTTTTAAATGAATCAAGACTATATTTGTGTGATCCTAGCCTGTGTTTTGAGAAGGGTTTTTGTCAGGCTGTTCCATGAAGTGTTTCGGGGTAATTTTTGAATCTTCCTGTTTTGTGTTTAGGATGTGGAATACCCTGAATATTTGGATCTTCGAGCATATATGTCCCAGTCAAGGGGAGAACCACTCATGTATTCTTTATATGCAGTTCTTGTTCATTCTGGTTTCAGCTGCAATGCTGGACACTATATCTGCTTCATAAAGGTGGGTATCAGCTTGATTTCTAACAGGGTAAAATAAACAAAGAAAATCAATGTTACCGGCAACCACCATTTTGATGGAGAAAGGTTGAATGATGTGTTCCGTTTGATTTGTTTGGTACGTTTCGTGCTGTAGTGTTCCGCCTGTGATGTCATTTGGACATCATGCGTTTTGTCTGAAGATGCCACTGTCTTTTGTTTGCAGGCCGGCAATGGATTTTGGTATCGAATGAATGATGCCATAGTGGAGCGTTCCGATATCAAAACGGTTCTCAATCAGCAAGCTTATTTACTTTTTTATATCAGGTAATACCGACTACTGAATCTGTTCAGAATATATTTACTTTCCTGTTACTGATACTTTTCTTTTTTTTCCAAGTGTTTTTCTTTCTGTCCTAGGAAAAGTTTACTGTTTCTGTAATTCAGTTCTGTCTAACCTGAACTTACCGCTGTCATTTACTGTCTTTCATTGCTTGGCCTTAAACTGGTGTGCTTGTGTACATTGCTCTGTATCCGCTCTACGTAGCGGGGTAATTTAGAAGAGGAGAAATAACACCGTAGATGGCGTAAGGGTGAGATGTTGCTCTGACAAGAATAGTCATTGTAGGGAGACCATTGTCTGTTTTTTTAGTTTGTAGTCTCGGTTGAGTCTTTTGTATGTGGCTTCTGTGTCACGTCATCTGTTCTTAGAAAATTACAGATGGGGTTTTAATCCAAGAATAGGTTGAAAGAAAAACTCTAAAGTGATATCACTGTTTTTTTCCCAAGGCGCCACGATTTGACAGTTGGAGAACGTGGTTTTTGCTTACCAGCAACTTCTTATCCCCGTTCATTCCTTGGTCAGCACGGGCCTAATAGTAAGCAGGCTGGATTTATGGGAGCACGGCTTCCTCCTCGTATGATTAAGGTAATTTGCAGGGAGCAAATAATGGCACCAAATTGATAATGTTGTTTTCTTTTGATGGGGGGGGGGGGGGGTAGCTTGTTGTTTTAGAGCATCTGATGAATTGTTTTCCCTCCCACACTGCAGCTTTCTTCACAACCATCATGCAACAGCCAGAATTATTCAAACAGTAGCTAGTCCCAAATTGTGCAGCCATGCTACTTCATTATACTTCCAACTCAAAGCGCTTTCTAAAGCACTGAGAGCTACGCTTTTGAGACACTTGGAGGAGTCTGTTAATTCTTGATGATGATGATGACGATAAGAAGAATAGTAGTAGTAATAATAATAATTAAATATCACTCCCCCAGTGTTACTTCAGCTGAGACAGTGAAAACGATTTTTCTTGGTCCTGAGTACCAGAGCAATTATAGCAGTGTTTTCAGGGAACGTTTAAAGGGGAAAATAAACATATTTGGGAAGAGCTTTAGTCAATGTTAAGTTGTTTGAGTGGGTTTCAGAAAATGAGGCTCATTTGATACCAAGATGCAGTAAACCAAAAGCAGCAGGAATGAAACACACTTGTTGGACTTAGGTTTATATTGGAAGTGGCGTGTTTTTCTTCTTAGGTGGTGAGGCAATTTGTAGAAATATTTAGTAGGAGAATTTAATGTTTTAATAAGTGCGGTGTGATCGCACATATTCATCTTGCAATCTTTTCTTTTTAAATACAGAATTCAAGTCGTTTAAATGGAAATGGACCCCTAGAAGAGGATACAAATCCTGTTGGTATCACCATAAAAAGGCCATCTTCAGCTCCATCAACAGCTTGCATTCAAAACTGGGCAATTACCAGGCCTTCAACTACGGATCCATCAAAAGCCCAGAAGATCACTATCAGTATTCGTAAAATATTGCCTGAGTGTCAGACTGTGTCACAACCTGACTGTCTTACCAGTGCTCTGGAGAATGAGGATCTCAGCAAGGCTGTTCCTTCCTCCACAATTGCAAATTCTCTCAGAGCAGAGTCTACCTCAAATGCATCTACAGTGGCAGTTGCTGCTAACATTTCCAAACAGGAAGTTCCTGATGAAATGTTTGTAGAGCCAGCAGTGAATGGAAGTTCTACACTCGGGTCTGATGCTACAGTCGCTTCCAGTCCAGAGTCTTCAGGAAAATCTGAGGCGTCGAATGGCGTGTTTAAAATGAATTACAACGTATCTTCCAACGGAACTGTAATACTGAAGGTAGTCGGCACGTTGCAGAATTCCCGTTCTTTCTGTGAGAGTGCTGAAGAAGAGAGATCCCATCATGTGCTGCCAAAAAATGATTCACTAAATTGTGCTATTAGTTTAGATAATGGATCTAAACAAAATGGACTGAAACTTGATGATTTTACTTCCCAAGTCCAACCTGCTAAACCTTCTGAGATATTCTTTGCTAAAACAAATGGATTGCTTGAACCAGTGAGTTGTTTGTTCCATCTAGAACTCCTCACCTATGGTGTGTTTAGTATTCAGGAGCATTAAAATGTTCCTAAGTCATGTGAAAACAGCACAAATTTAAACTTCATCGTTAACGCTTTGTGCTATTGTCGCATTAGAATTTGCAGAGCTGAACTGGCATGTGAGAACATGTCAACTTCAGAAAATTTCACCTGAGATAGTACTTCATAAGTTTCATAAATATACTGGGGGGGAAGGGGTGATGTGTGAGATAGCAATGGTGCATGTAAGGCAAAGTGATCTTGTTTAATGACTAATGAGGAAATTTTGAAAACAGTTTTCTTCTAAAGGTAGTATTTTTTTTGTCTGTTAACGTCTGCGTTTTAATTGTAGGTACCTGTAGCTGAGTCACCGATTCCTCAAGAAATAGTCTTAGAATCCCTGGCCTACAGCCACCTGAACAGGTTGTCAGAGAAAACAAGGTAAATTGAGTACACTCTGATGAAAACAAGATTTCATACAAGTTTATCATTGTTTTACCCATCTACTAGTACTATTTAATAGAAAGCTTTCCACACTGTATGTGTAGGGTTGCAGACATCAGCACTGAACATGTGTTATTCTGATATTAATGAAAGCAGATGCCTCCCAGAATGGTTCTGTTTCTTCATAGGATAATTTTACTTTTTTTTACAATTGGATTTCTTTTCCACTGTAAATTCCCACCTTGTGCCCTCCCATTTTGTGGAGAGAAGGGAAATGAATGAGTTGACTTTTTTCTAGTTTGGGGAGAGCGAAGGTAGTGGTTTTGGCTGCTGATGCCTTACAGAGTCCCTTTAGAAAGCTACAGTTTCCAAACTGTGTAAGGGAGTTTAGAAACATACAGAGTTTACCAGTAGCCACCAAATCTTTTACTTCAAGGGATTTTTGCTCCTAACATTTATCTTTTAGGTGAACTTTTTCAAATGAAAAATGTGTTTTTGTTTTGTGCAGTGTCCCTGCACCTCAAAGGTCTGAGGGTGATCGTCTGATGGAAACCGTAGTGACGGAAAATAATAACTACGCAGAAGTACCGCCTGTTAATGACTCTTCTCTTACAAAGCTGGATAAAGTTCTGGAGAGTCAATTCTCTAGACAAAATGAGGGGTTGAATAATAAAAAATGCGAAGAGGATAACAGGCAAAAATACGAGGAGAAGATACACGACTCCAAAAAAACTGACAAAGAGCACTGCCGAAAGAAGAGACAATACTCTGACATTGACGAGGAGAAGCAAAGCAGGAGCAAAGTGGATGATTGTTCCTGCAAAAGGAGGTGCTCTCACAGAATGGAAACAAATCAGCAATATCATGCTAAGCAGGACTATTGCAATGAAGGCAAGTACAGACCTTCCTATAATGAAAGAAACAGTCCAAATAATGGCAAAATCTGAGGAAAATACTCTCGTTACAGATCCCGAAGCAGAGAAAGAACGGAACAAGACAGGAATCAGTATTATCGTTCCACAGGAGAGAGAACCTGGAGCATGGAAACATACCGTCGAAGCACGGAGTTGGGAAAAATGCAGATATTACAAGACTTATGACTCTGTCCATAGAAAAGGAGATGGTAGAGAGAGGAAGTCCTCTCATTTTGATAAAGCCTTTCATAAATTGAGTCAGTTCTACAAATCACGTAGGCATTATCACTGCAAGAGCAGATGGGCTCACAACACTCACTGCAGAGAGGAAGGATGGCATCACTTGAGCAGCCACAGCGGAAACTTCCGTCATTGTTCACTACCTCTGCAGCAGTCTGAAAAACACTCTCGGGAAGGGCACGCACCTCCACCTGCCTCAGCTCATGCACAATTTGACAACTCTTTCTGGGAAAATGAGAAACTGAGGCTTGGCAAGAGGAAATATGGCAACGCAGAAGGAAGAGAAGGTGAACTGGAAAAGAAATGCCGCAAGATAGATGATAAATACCAAGAGAAGGATTACAAGTAAGCAGGAATTCCAGCATAATCCGCCATTCTTTTCCTAACTCTTTTCTGAATGTTTCCCATGCCTGCCTTTTTCCCATTGTTTCTAAGTGATTTATATAGGATAATCTGACTACGGGTTGGTCATTGGGCTGGTCATTAGGTTGGTCAAGCAAACATAGGAGGGATGTTGCTGAATAGCATTAGAATGCTAGATCTGGAGCACAAAGCGAAGAACCTGTCGTGGTTTAATCCCAGCCTGCTGAACGAAGGACAGAACCACATCTGCGCAATGTTCTTGATTAGGTTACCTTAGATTAGCCACCTTCTCGAGTCTGTCGGATCCTGTAATCACAGGGCAGACGGAGCTGCATGCAGGCTTGAGACTTCTCGTTCAGAAACCAAACCACTGAGACAGGGTTTGATGCTGAATGTCATGCCAGGGAGCGACATTGCTTTCTTTTGTCTTTCAGATGCAAAGCTCACTGATGGAATCCTTCAGTGCCTGAACTAAACCTACCAACAAAACCAACTACTTCTTACCATCAAAACTGAGTCTTTACCATCAATCCTGATGGTTTACCATCGAACCTGGCTGTTTACCATCAAGAATGACTCTTTACCATCAAACCTGTTTACCATCGAACCTTGCTTTGCCATCAAAACTGACTCTTTACCACCAAACCTGATTGTTTACCATCAAACGTGACTGTTTACCATCAAACGTGACTGTTTACCATGGAAGGTGGCTTTACCACCAAACCTGCTTACGATCGAATCTGGCTTTACCATCAAAACTGACTCTTTATCATCAAACCTGTTTACCATCAAACCTGGCTTTACCATCAAAACCGACGACTCTTTGCCGAAAGAAACTATGACTCTTTGTCTTCAAACTGGACTTTATCGATACTATCGAAACTTAGAATTTATTGTTGAAACTTTTACCGTCAAGGCAAAATCCATCTGTTTTAATTCCATTTTCTTAATATACCGTCACTTGTCTGAAGTCTCAGTTGTCTGGTTTTGTCTCCCTAAAGTGGCTAGCTAAAGACAAATTCATACTGTGATTTTAATTTTGATTATTAAATGCTGTCAAACTGTGATGCACTTCATAGTCACTGGTCCTGCATCAGGAGACCAGTGAGTGGGAACCTCTGTGAAATACAGTTCATCTGACTAATCTGTCTGGTCTAATGAATCGACTTGAGGAGAAGAGATCTGAGTTGTTCCCCCACTTGCCTTATATTTGACTGAAGCTCATGGAAGGCAACGGGCAAAATCCCTCCTTAATTTAGGGTGGGAAAGCAGCTCTTAATGGAGTAACATTCATAGCAACACAGCTATGAATGTTCAGCCTTACAAAAACAACCGATTTTGCAGCTGAGGAGTTTTCTCTCTGAAAAATTCAACCTGTCAATTTAAATCAGTGTGCTTAAAGGTAGGCAAAGAGGCCTTTTACTTACAAGAGCAGTTGCAAAATCAGATCTTAACTAAATCAGCACGCACCTCCCATGTATTCCTGGTAAATGAGGAGCTATGCAACAGTAGAGTTTCACACTTTATTTTAGAGAAAGTCTCCAGGCTGAAGCAACAGGTCCTCCTGATAAATGACAGCGTTACTATTGCAGTGGATTTACATCAAACATCACATTTTTAACAATGATCGATACAGAGTATGTCATGCAAATCACTTGTGTACACCAAGTAATACTTCAATCAGTCCCTATCTGTGCAGCATTTACATTTTCTATTCAAACTGTAGCTAGAAACATTTTACAAGAAAATACAGAAAAGGAATTTGTAAGCCAAAAGTCTTAGTTTGTAGGATTTGGTCTACAAGAGACCTAGCTTTTCCAGCCAGCATATCTACATAGGTATGTACTACATCTTAAAAATACGCATTGTTTTCAAACACTAGAAAGCACTATAAATGCTGCTCAGTTGACAGAGGTTCTGTTTTGTACCAGTTTAAACCGGTTCAAAATGTGAAGCAACGTAAAGCTTATTTTGTCAGAATAGTGTCAGTTTTAAGTCAGTCCGGCTGAGCTGAAGTTTCCCGTACATTTCTCTGCCTGCACTGCACTGGCACCGTGCCTGATGGAAGCGGCCACACAGTTCAGATGCTGAGCGGAGCCGGCACGGCAAAAGGAAGGGAAAGAGACCGGCGGGAGCAGCCGGCTCGGCTCGGCTCGGCTCTGGTGGCCGCTGTGGCGCCGGTCGGGCAGCGGAGGGGTGGGACTGCCCGGCGCGGCGGAGCTGGGCGACGTCCCCAGTATGAGGCGGACGGACCCAGCTCCGCCGCCGCCGCCGCGGCCGCCACCACCGCCTGGGCCGGCAGGACCGGGGCGGGGCGGCAGGGGGCTGAGGCGGCTCGGCGCTGCGCCTGCCCCCGCAGCACCGGTTGCCGCGGGCCGGAATTAGCGAGCGGGGCTGGGTCGGAGCGGGAGGTGGAGTGAGAAGGGCGAGGAGACGTGAAGCGAGGGATCCCTCGGAGCCCTGCTCCGGCCTCGCCTGCCGTGTCGGCTTCGGTTTGGTTTGGTTTGGCTGTGTTTGGGCTCTTGCCGCTCCCGAGAGCGGCCATGCTGCGTGCCGCGCCGGTCCGTGAGAGCAGCGGTGCCACAACGCTCTTAGGGACCAAAACCCCTCGGACAGGCAGAGCAGGGGGTGAGCGGGTGTGTGCTTGATGCGTAGCGCTGGTGACGGAAGGCCGGACAGTTCCATTTCGGACTGGACGTTAACCGACGTTGAGAGCTTATCTCGCGACCCCGCAGAAGCAGACCCTCGGACCGCGGTGAAACACCGGGCACACGCCCCTGGGGAGGACAGCGAGACCCCTGGGGGGTCACAAACTCCGGCCCCTGGGCGGAGAGACGCAGACCCCGGGGCCGCTCTCGCCGCTCCGTACAACTCGCGGTCCCCGATCTCGGGGTCGCCAGTAGTGGCAGGAAGCGTTGCTGGGCGCCGACAGCGGGGAATGAGAGCTTCGAGTGCCTCTCTACTTCGTGTACCGAACTGGCTTCCAGTTAAGATCTTCCTTAACTGGAGTAACTCCGAGTTTCCCAGCTTGGCAGCTGGATTCTTTCTTATGACAGTAAACGAGTTACAGAAACAGTAAATATTTTTTGAAATCTGATTTTCTTGCAGTTGTTAACGACGGAATTGCCCCGCCACGTAAAATTCTTTTTCCACCTGAGAAAACCTGCATGCATTGCCAACAGCCACTGAACGTTGGAGCTGGACTGCAGAACCTGGGCAATACGTGTTACCTTAATGCTGCTCTGCAGTGTGTAACTTCCGCGCCTCCTCTGGCCAATTACGTGCTTTCACTGGAACACAAGAAGTCACTGACACAGACCCCGACCCCGGGGCGGACAGAGCAGCAGACCCCGCAGCTGACAAACTCGGACCCCAGTTCGGAGGGACACAGACCCCGGCGCCGCTCTCGCTGCTCCGTGCTACTCGCGGTCCCCGGGCTCGGGGTCGCCAGTAGTAGCAGGAAGCGTTACTGGGCTCCGACAGCGGGGCAATGGGAGCTTCGAGTGCCTCTCTACTTCGTGTGCCTAACTGGCACGGTTTTTGTGATAAAGAACTGCGAGTCTCCTAGCGTGGCAGCTGGACTCTTTTTTCATGAAAGTAAAAAGCTATTACGTGTGTGCCTCTCGGGGACGTAAGGGGTGGATTTTGTTGAAACAGACGTGCCTCCTGCCTCCCGGAGACGACACCCCCAACCTATTGCTGTATCTAACTTGGTTTGCATGAGGTGCGTGCCTCTTAGGGACTTCAGAGGTGCGTTTTGTGGAAGCAAAACGCGCTGCCTCCCTGAGGCGATCGTCCCGTTCCGAAATGGATAGCAGTGAAGCTGCCCCTGAGGGCAGAGATGTGTTGTGTGGCCTTTTAGAGCAACAGAAGGCTCGCCCCTCTCTGCCAGGGGCAGAACGGGCCGAGAAAAATCGGTGTAATTCGCAAAGTCTAACAGACCGAATAAGCGCCCTGCAAAAGGATGTGAAACTGCGGCCCGGAAAGGGTAACTCGGTTGTCTGGGCCGTACCGGGCGCCATCTTGGCTGCTGCACCGGAGGCTGGCGAAGAACAACAAAGAGCTGGATCTCAGTTCAGTTCATACAAACTTTACAAGACCTGCTCCGAGCCCTGCAGGACCAGGTAGTTAACCGTTAGACAAAGAGAAAAATCAGGCTAACTACTTGCAATTAGCTCTGAAAAAGGAACTCCTTGCAGAGAACCCCGCCCCTGAATATCCCCACAGGGGCCTGGGAGGGGGGGACGGACTAAGGTCATTAGGTTGGTCCAGCAAACACAGGGAGGATGTTGCTGATCTGGACGAACGCTAGATCTGGACGATTTTGCTTGCCACGCCCAACCTCCTAAACCACCTGAGATTTTCTTTGCTAAAACAAATGGATCGCCTGAACCAGTGAGTTGTTTGTTCCATCTAGAACGTCTCACCTATGGTGTGTTTAGTATTCAGAAGCATTAAAATGTTCCGAATTCATGTGAAATACTGTGAAAACAGCACAAATTTCAACGTTAACACTTTGTGCTATTGTCCCATTAGAATTTGCAGAGCTGAACTGGCATGTGAGAACATGCTGATGTGCGGATTGACTCCACAACTCGTTAAAGTTGTAAAGCAGGTATGCTTTTTAGTCAGCGCTGAGACGCACGGGGATAATTCCTCAAAGTCATGCGTGCCTCGGTGTTGTTTCCCTCTACGTTTATGCTCCAAAGTTATATGTATTCATAAGGTTGCACAATATGCCTATATATATTCATGTCCTGTCCCTGCTTCGTATTATAATGAGCTAGAAGGTTCTGTGCACCTGCGCAGTGCCCCCTCTGGTCATGGGCAGGGGTCTCAAGATGGAGTAAATGAGTCTTCCTCCTGTGGGTAGGGGTCTTCAAGAGGAAGTCAATGAGTCTTCCTCTTCTTGAACTTTTCACCTTTTAGTCTTCACGTATGGCCTTAGGGTTTGGTCGGTGTCCCAGCCATAAACCGGCTGTCTCTCCCCCTTCAGGCGTCTGCTTTCCCTTATCAATAGCTGCTTATCAGTAGAATCAGCTGCTTATCAGGCCCAGCAAGCTAAAAATAATTCACCCTTATGTTGTCAATCTGAGTCCATCTGAACCACTTCAATCTTAGCCACTTTATCCACTTGT